GCTGATCTAATTGAAAGATGGACAATCTCACAGAATTGAGAGTATTTATCCTTGCTTTTTCTTCCGGCTCATACAATAACTCTTAGTGATTATTTACCTACGTCTACGACACTTAAGGGAACAAGATCTAGAAAGCCCCCCTCCCCACCCCAAGTAGGTTACCTAAAAGCGCGATGATGGCCTTCACAATTTCGCTCGTAACTTTTCATACAAAATATGGAAACCTTCGTTAGTCCGCAGGAGATGCATACTCCGCATGCCTTATTCACCCTTGTCACCTTCCGTGTATAATTTAGTATTTTGCGTTTCACCTACCCAGCACTAACAGAAACATTCTTGAGTCAACTGGCCGTTCATCTCGTAGACAGTTAAGTACGACCTAACCGCGTTTCATTACCTAGACCTTGATAAGTTTCTCTGAGTAGGGTATACCGAAAGTTTAAATACAAGCGTTTCCCTGGTATCTTATTTTTTTCATTCAACGGTCCCGTGATTATGGAGTTCAGAACCCGATAGTAGCCGAGGGTTGAAACTGGGTCAACGACAGCGCTCTAAGACTTCTGACAAGTGACTCGAACTGTCAACATCCCAGCCGACGGCGTATATAGTCTCCTGTTAGTTTTGTCATAACTGATCTGCTAACTGCGATTTTTATTTTAGCATTTTCACTATTTCCTTGAACCTGATTTTGTGCTCCAACCGCTCTTCTCGGTACTCCGCTTCTGAACTTTCTAGGCTAGTGGGAAAATCCAGCATAGGAACCTGATCTTAGAGCGGGCAAGTGAGGATGAATGCGTTCTTTGTTTGAGCTCAGAATTACTTAATGTCAGGACGTATGTATATTGCAAAAAGAGAATTCAATCTTCTGGACGCATTATTGGAGTATTCAAATGCAGACTAGATATTCATTTGCTACGAAACTACTGTACTATATGGTCGAGATTTTATCCTAGATGGTATTTAGCGTCTGGTTCACATACGAGGGGCTTTGCAATGTCATCAAAATACTGCTTTAAAGCTAATTATTTTGCCTTTGTATATGAATAGGGCGTTCAGAGGACAAAAATCAATTCCCCTGATTAAGTGACTTGAAGGGGCTTTTCCTGCACTCCGCACTTTCGGCAGGCATCTACACATTACAATGTTAGCTTAAACCTCGTTCTCCATAGTCCGAAAGATAACTTTTTAATTAGTTCACTGCGCCGCTTGTCCTAGATGTTTATTTGTATCAACTGCCTCTGTTAGAACAGACTAGAAAAAGTCCACATTTTATACCTATTTCGTAGGGGGTCGCGTCTCCCCCAACTATAGCTTTTGGCAACCGGATGCTTTTTTTAAAGTATTGTATTCCGTTTCAAGTTGAGGTGTTTTGCCATGTCTGTAGTGTTTTTATTAGCATTCTGTTCGTTTGTTTTCTTATAAATTTGAAACTCTGATGTGTCTCACGTGCACGACGCATAGACCTGTCAGAAGAGGATGATTTAGGCTGTTGCGTTTCTGCCAAAATAGTGCGCTTTTGAACTAAGAACTCACTACCAATTTATGCTTTGATAAGTTCCCCGTGGTTGTGATTTTCGCAATCTTTCCAGCGTTATACTAACTTTAATTTTTGAATCATCCCTCCAGTCAGCTTGTGTTCTCTTTTTTTGTGGTCGTGTGCTTCTTCCTGTTTAACCGTTCCCGATTTACTTGACTGCGAAGTGGTGGGCATCAAGGATGCAACTTCTTTAAAGCACTCATCTCGCTCTTTTACTGAACGGATAATGGCTGATAGCGCTTTGCTTCCGCAGTCTAATCTATAACCCACGCCAGCGGTTGTATACTAAAACGTGATCGGTAATCGATAAGTGTTTTCGACAAAATGAACTGTAACGGCTTGTATTCGGTCGCTTTCTATCTTCGCGCAGCGTCTGAGTGAAAAGCAACCCTGTCTTATGGAGGATTATTTAGCAGCTGCTTGCAATTTTTGTTGGGAGTGACTGTTTTGGTCGGGGCCTGTCTGCCACTCAGACGCAAGCCCGCACGCCGGACAGATCCTCGACCTGCAATTGCGATAACGTTCAGCCTTTGGCTGGAATGGGCCGAAAGATTCAAAGAGACCCTGGCTGGTTGCGTTTTCCATTGTCAGATGGGGAACTGAAACACACAGTCGGAACGTCAGTCTAATATGTCAATTTTCCCGGAGATTGAACTTGTGCTGCCACAAAAAAAGCTTTAATCGGACGTAGTTTCTGCCTTTGCTTTCTATGCCCCGATGGATAGGACTCATTGGAATGTTTGAATTCCTGACCCAACCCTCTTGATTCCTTTTTGATAGTGCGTACCATTTGCTGTCGAAATAGTTTGTTTGCTTTTTTTCTTTTAGTTATTTTGCAATGGCAGTGTCCTCTGAAGTTTTGGCCAAAAAATTGGGCGAGTATTTGACCCGACTCAGCATTCCCAAGGAGGCATTACAGTTAACTTATGGAACCTCGGGTTATCGCTGCGAGGCCTCT